CCTTACCTGGGTCAAAAAGTAACCACATTAACATAACAAAAGACACCTTCAGTTCTGTTCCAGAGACTGAGGACTAGGACCAAAAATGTATTTCTTATAAATCACAATATCAGACGCGCATTAAAGAGAAAAACAGAATTAATTACAAAGTGAAGCAGTGGATCATTTTATTCCCTAGAGACCGGTGCAGCCATTCAGAATGTGAGGAAATGGATGAGTGCGACGTTCTACCCACAGGTTCTGCTACAAAAACAAAAGGCAACAGTCTACACTGTTGAGCACAGTTAGTGTTTGCTTTATTCTCTCAACATTTATATTTAAATCTATTACTATCTATGACATGCTATGTGCCATATGAATGCCATCACTATAAACATGGAGCATGAGCCCTGGCCAGTTTGGTCAGCAGTTAGAACATCGACCTGTGGACCAAAGAGTCATGGGTTCAATTCCGGTCAAGGGCACATACTTGGTTACAGTTCGTCCCTGGCCCTGGTCAGGTCATGTGGAAGGCAGCCAGTAGACGTGTCTCTATCACATCAATGTTTCTCTCTCTCTCCCCCTCCCACTCTATCCAAAGATAAATAGAAAAATATCCTCAGGTGAGGATTAAAATATATATATACATATATATATATATATATATATATATGTATGTATCATGATGTATATATCATGCAATTTTGTTCATGAAACACTACATATAAACATTAGTAGTATGAAATATGTAAATATGTCCTAGACATTCACATAGTTAAATATATATATAAATAATGTATAACACAAATAAATAAATGTAATAAATATAAAATAACATATTTAATATATGATAATAAATAAAATATATAATAAATATATAGTAAAATATGTAAAATATTAGATATATTTAGCTATATGACTATCTAAAATATATTTCATCCTATTGATACTTATATATAGCATTTTATAAACAAAATTAAATACAAGTCATTTAAAGTACATAATTTGAAAAGGGATCTCCTTGTAAAATTGTCAGGCTGGTGAATATAGCATTTTTTTATATTGAATTTCTTTCTTGTCTCCCCCACTTTCTGAGCCTTAGAAAGCAAGATTCTGACTCTCAGCATTATATTTCCAAGGCCTAGCACAGTTATTGACCCATAGTAGATGCCCTAAAGGTTAGTTAAATTGTTTGCTTCCTGGGAATATTGTCATGTAATTGGGGAAATGTACTTTCCTTGTACAAAGAGATATATAATATTAGACAGCAAACTAAATGTGTGTTGTAATTTGTACTTGTTTTGAAAGATAAGGACAGCTCCGTGACAATACGATGATGGGAAGAATCCATGCTTGTGTGGTGTGTGTGCTCAAAACTTATCAAGAAGTACTAGGAGGGAATTTTATAGCAATAAATGCCAACATGAAAAAGGAAGACGTATCTCAAATAAACAATGTAACTTTAGACTTCAAGGTGATAGCAAAAGAACAAACTAAGCTAAAATTAGCAGAAGAAAGAAAATAAGAAAGACCAGAGCAGAAATGTAAAAAATAGACAATTGGAAAAAAAAAATTGATGAAACTAAGAGTTGGTATTTTGAAAAGACAAACAAAATTGACAAACCTTTAGCTAGACTAAGAACAAAAATAGAAGACATAAATAAATAAATAAATAAATAAATAAATAAATAATCCAGAAGCAAAAGAGGAACTATTACAATCGATGCTGCAGAAATAAGATTTATAAGAGACTACTAGGAACAACTCTATGCCAACAGACTGGTTAACCTAGAAAAAATAGGCAAATTTCTAGAAACATACAACTTATAAGACTGAATCATGAAGAAAAAAAGAAATCTGCACAGGCCTGTAACTAGGAGATTGAATCACTAATAAAAATTACAAACAAGGAAAAGCTCAGAACCAGATGGCTTCTTTGGTGATTTCTGCCAAACATTTAAAGAACTAACAACAATCCTTTTTAAATTCTTCCAAAGAAAGCTGATGAGTAAGGAACACTTCCAAATTCCTTTATAAGGCCAGCATTTCCCTGGCACTACAGCCAGACAAAGGCATCACAGGAAAAGAGGACCACAGGCCAATATTCCTGAAAATATGGATGTAAAATTCTCAAACAAATACTAGCAAACCAAACCCAATAGCACATTAAAAGGACCATACACCATGACCAAGCATGATTTATCCCTGGGATGAAAAGATGGTTCGACATATGAAAATCAATAAATGTCACATGCCACATGAATAGAGTAAAGGATAAAAACTACCTGTTTATCCCAATAGATGCAGAAAAACCTTTGACAAAGTTCAACACACATCATAATAAAAACTCACATCAAACTAGGAAGAGGAAGAAAGTACCCCAATGTAATAAAGACCATATATAAAAAGTCCACAGCTAACATCATGCAGAACTGAAAGGGTAAAAAACTGAAAGGGTTCCCTCTAAGATTAGGAGCAAGACAAGGTTGCCCACTCTTGCCACTTCTATTCAACATAGAAAAAGAAATCTGATGACATGATCTTATATGCAGATAATCCTAAAATACTGCTAGAAATAGTGAATAAATTCAGTGAAGTTGCAAGATACAAAATCAATACACAAAAATCAGTTGCATTTCTATGTACCAACAATGAATTATCTAAAAGGAAATTAGGAAAACACAAAGGATAGAATAAAATACTTAGAAACAAATGTAATTAAGGAGGTGAAAGACTTTTATATCAAAATCTAGAAAACACTGATGAAAGAAATTAGATTAGAAAAATGGAAAGTTCATGGATTAGAAGACTTAATATTGTTAAATTGTCGATACTATACAAAGCTATCTGAAGATTAATGCAATCTGTATCAAATCCCAATAGTGGTTGTTTGTTTGTTTGTTTTTTGCATTTATCTTCAGATAGAGCAGAAGGGAGAGAGGGGGGAAGAGAGAGAAGAAACATTGACATGAGAGAGACACATCGAGTAGTTGCCACCCACACAAGCCCAACCAGAGCTGGGGACAAACTGCAACCAAGGTACATGCCCCTAGCGGGAACTGAACCCAGGACCCTCTGGTCTGCAAGCCGACACTCTAACTGCTGAGCCAAACCAGCCAGGGCTAGTGTTTTTTTGTTGTTGTTGTTTTGTTTTGTTTTTAATAAAATGTAGAAAAAAAAGCTACAGTCATATGGAATCACAAAAGACCATAAATATCCAAATAAATCCTGAAAAAGATAACAAAGCTGGAGGCATCACACATTCTGATTTAAAAATATATTGAAAAGTTATAGTAATCAAAACACTATGGTACTGGCATAAAGACAGACATACAGACCAATGGAACAGAATAGGGAGCTCAGAAATGTATCCTTGCATACAGTCAACTGATCTTTGACCAGGGAACCAAGGATACATGATGGGGAAAGGAAAAGAATAGTCTCTTCAACAAATGGTGTTAGAAAAAAAATGGATATACACACCCAAAAGAATAAAATTGGGTTCTTACCTTACACTATGCACAATTATTATTTAAAATAGATTAAGATCTGAAACTATAAAACTCTAAGCAAAATTTGGGGAAAACTTTATGACATTGGCCTTGGCAATGATTTCATGGATATGATACCCAAAGGACAGGCAACAACAACAACAAAATAAACAAGTTGGATTATATTGAACTAAAAAGGCTTCAACAACAAAGATGACAAAGTAAAAAGGCAACGTATAGAACAGGATAAAATATTTAAAAACCATATATCTGATAAGGGGTTATCTCCAAAATATATAAGAAACTCCTATAATGCAATAGTAAAAAAAAAAAAAAAAAAAAAATCTAGTAACCCAATTTTAAAAATGAGCTGAGGACTCGAACAAGCATTTATTTCCCTGAAGAAGAGAAACAAATATTAAAAAATGTTCAGCGTCACTAGTCATTAGTGAAATGCAAATAAAAACCATAATAATATGTCTCATTACACCTATCAGGATGAAAAAACTGAAAGATGGCCCAACTGATGTGGTTCAGTTGGTTGAGCGCCATCCCATGCACCAAGAAGTTGAAGATTTGATTCTCAGTCAGGGCACATGCCGGGTTTTGGGCTTGATCCCTGATAGGGGGTGTGCAGGAGGCAGCCAATTGATGTTTCTCTCTCTCCCTCTCCCTTCCTCTCTCTCTAAAAATCAATCAAAACTAATGAAACAAAATCTGAAAGATGATATATATTGATGAGGACATGAAGGATTTGGGAAACTTGCACACTACTGGTAGGAATGCCAAATGGTGCAGCCATTATGAAAAACAGTATGAAGGGTCTTCAAAATGATTAAAAACTACCATGTCATCCAGCTGTCCCACTTACTAATATTTATCCAAAAGAACTGAAGTCAGGATCTGAAAGACACATTAGCCCTCTCACATTCATTGCAGCTCCACTCACATTAGCCAAGATGTGGAAACAATTAAATGTCCACAGATGAATGAATGGATAAAGAAAACGTAGTATATATATTCAATGGAATACTATTCATCCCTAAAAAGAAAAAGGAAATTCTGCAAGATGCAACAGCATGGATGAAGCTTGAAGACATCATGTTAAAGGAAATAAGCCATCACAGAAACACAAACACTGCATGATTCCACTTATACTAAATATCTAAAATAGTCAAATTCATAGAATCTAAAAGTGGAATGTTGATTGGCAGAGGCTGTGGGGTGGGGGAAATGGGGACTTACTCATCAATGGGAATAAAACATTTCAGTCAAGCAAGATCACTAAGCTCCAAAGACCTGTTGTCCAACATTGTGCTTGTAGTCAACAATACTACATTGTACACTTAAATATTTGTTAAGAGGGTAGATCTCATGTTGAGCATTCTTACAGCAGCAACAACAATAATAGAATAAAAGTCTCAAAAAGCAATAAATAAATAAATCAAGCTCACATTTTCCAACTAAAAAGACTAAATCTCTTGCAGTGTCCAAAGTCAAGTCACATTAAAGAAAAAGTCTAAGACTTACCTCAAAACTCACAGCTCCATTATGGTCTGTGTCAAATGCATTGAACAGAAAATGTGCATACGTTGTAGAGTCTGAAATGTTGAAAAGAGAGTATCATTAAGTCAGCGTTTCAATATCCTATGTAGGAACTGTACAGCATGTCCAAATCCAAGTCCAAGTCCAAATCCATCAGGAAAATGTACTGTATCTCCTCTGATGTGAGGGTTCTTCCCAGCTGCCCACCTACGTTCAGCAGGATTGTAACTTGAGATTCACAGGAGGCCATTGATGACAGACATCTCTGTAACTTTCTGGCTGGAAGTGCTCTGAACACATGGGAGTCTTGGGTGATGTTACTGACTCTGATGAGTACCAGAACCATAGGTGGGTGGGCGGATTAAGGGAGACCCATCTGAAACTTACTTAGTGCTTGGCAGGAGCTAGCTCTAGACGTAAAATAATAAAATAATAAAAATGAGACACCGATGAATTGCTACTTTAGTGTCATTCATCAATTTTATAACTGAGATAAGCTATTGAGACTCAGAGAGGTTGAGAAACTTGCCTGAAGTCACACAGTCAATGAGGAGTAGATTGGGACATAACTTGGGTTTGTCTGACTAAAAATTCAGGCTAGCCCATAGCCAGTAATGTTGAGACAGCAGTGACTTGGGAAGTGTCTGTCCCCTTGTTGGAAGTGGCCTTAAAGGTCCCTGGTTGCACACAGCAGGAAGCCCCTCCCCTGCCTGGGCCCTGGGTGGGATTCCAGGCTCTGAATAATGGTAGACTGTTTTATTTTTATTTATTTTTAATAATTTTTCTTAATTGATCTTAGAGAGAGAGTTAGGGAGAGGGAGAGAGAAATAGAAACATCGATGAGAGAGAACATTGATTGGCCGCCTCCTGCATGCCGCCCACTGGGGATCAGACCCATAACCTGGGCAGGGTAGGTGATCAACCACTGAGCCACACCGGCCAGGCTGTGGTAGACTATTGTAGAAGGCTCTCTGTCCCCAATGTTTTATGATGCTGCCCAATGACAATAAACTACTCTGAAATCCAACACTTCTCTTAGTACGTTTTTCCCCCTCTAATTCTTCCTTCCTCTTCTGTTTCTCCTTTGTCTCCCCAATCTCTGAGCTTTGTGCATTTTTATTTTAAAAGTATGTATTTTTTCTTCCTGTTTTATTTTCTTTCTGCAAAGTTTTCATTTTTAAGTGCTTCTGTGCTTGACTAGACCAAATCTACTTGATTATTTAAAATGTTCCATCTCATGGGTTTTAGCCTTTTACCTTAACCTTTTTTATGGTAACAAAATACTGTAACCTTTTAGCTCATTGGTTCTGGACTTTTCTGTTGAAAATCCATTTCTGCTTTATAATGTTTAACCTTTATTTTGGGAGGGTGATTTTAACAAAACTTCTATTCCCCCTTTACTTTATGAATATCTTTTCAAAGGCTGTCAAAAAACTAAGTCATAGTAGCTACAGTAGAGAATTGTCCTCCCCAAATAAGGGATGTCAGAGGTCGTACAATCTTCCTTCCCAGCTCTCAAGCACCATGACTACTTAGGAAGTATTTTTCCTGAATGCTTTATCCCTGTGGTTAATGATAACGAAGACCATATATTTCACCAGGTGGACTGTACACTCAGTTTCTTGAAATGATGGTGGCATTTTATTTTCACCTCTTACCTTTAAATATGATACAAAGAATTGCTTATATTTAAACATATGCATTATTAACAGTTTCCAATGAACTAAATAGATGCTACAATTGGGTCTAAATAATATGCAAAGCCATTCTTTCTACAGTGGATATCCATTAGGAATTGATGGCTTGCAGGAAGACATCCTTGAATATGGGACCAGAGATTAATTGCAACCAACTTAGTGCCATTGTTGGGAAGTTCCATTACTAGTTCATCAAGAACTGACAGCCTATTTTATTCGCAAAGTTGTTTTGCTCTTACACAGTTCTGGAATGATTTAGTGCCCCATGGAGATTCAGCTGATATGTTTAACTTATTTTCAGGGAGGGAAAAAAAGAAGAGATTTTGCATGTTTGATAATGAGCTTCATTAAGCAGGTCTCTTGTCACCCTATTTATACAATCAGGGTGAATGCCTTTACCTTACAGCAGGCAGAACCCACGATGGCTCAGAACACATGACGCTGAGAATTTTGTACTGTTTAACAAATATGAATAATTCCTGTTCTCCTCCAAGGGAGCTGCTCTAGCCTTAAAGCTTGACATGTGGGACATATACTTGAAGGTTTGCCCTAACGTGGCTCAGAGGGCTTGTTCTTCTGCATGCACCTTGCCGATTCTCCTGGACGTTAAACCCGTTCTCCAGCCTCGGAGAGCAGGTGTTCATAGTGTAGTGAAGCTACACTGCCTGAACTTGAATCTCAGCTCTACCAAATAGTAACTACGTGACCTTGGACAGGTTTTTTTCACCTGTGACTCGGTTCCCTGTAAAATGATAACAATACGTACTTCATAGAGTCATTGTGAAAAGATTAAATGAGATACTATATGCAGAGTGCTTAGAACAGTCCTAGGCACATATTAAGTGTTCAATAAATATTAGGTATTCTTCTTCTTTCATAGACAAGCCACCTTTATCTCAACTACCTTAAAGATATGTGACCAATTTTTTTTTTTTTACAGATGTATTATATTTTCACCTGAAAAGGTTCCTGTGTTTGTATCCTCTAGTGTATGTTTAAATGACTGCTGTTCCAACCTGATAGAACTTCATGCTCAATAGGCTAGTGAAATTGTGTCAGGAAAGGCATCGAGGTTTCCGGTGGAGTCTGCACTTCTGGAAGGCCAGTGTTGGTGTTTGGAGACACCAAAGCGTCTAAGGAAGGAGAGTGGTGTTACTCACTCTCACTGGGCAAGAGGCAGGAGCCGAGGCGCTGGAAGTATCTGGCTGGGCAGAGAGGTGAACACATGAAGAAAAGGAAAACTATCCACAAGAACTATGGTCTGCGTCCCACTGACGGCGTTATTCCTAGATACTCAGTGAATATTTGCCAAAAGAATGAATAATTGATATGCTGGATTTTAGATTTCAGTACAGTTCAAGGCTCAAAAGATATGACAGTAATCTCTCTTCTCCTCATATGACTGGCTGTTCACATTTCCTTACATAGAGCAAAAATAGTTTCTGAGTTCGATATGCTGACATTGCTTCAGTTCCTTATCTTTTACTTGTGAGGTTGAAATTTTACAGGTGGAGGACCAAACTTATGGGTTCTTAGGATAGGAAGGGATCCTGGATATCATTTAGCAATTCAGGTATGTTTAACAAAAGTGAATAGTAATTGCAGGTACTTTTAGTGGCTTAGCTGAGGTCACCTAGTTAGTTAATTGTAGAGCCTGTAATAAAATCAAGACATCTCAATACCAACTCTTAGAAATAAAGGTCACTGGAGTAGAAAAAAACTGAGGATGCTTTGTTTCACATTTTATAAAAATATTTTTCCCCATTTCACAGAGAAACAGCCTGAGGCCCAGAGAAATAAACCATTGAAGTAATACGTCTTGGTCCTGACATATCTAAGTGCCTCAAGTGTGTTAAACATACTGGCTGCTTGATGCTTGTTGATTTAGAATATTTTTTACTCTAGCTCACTCATTCATTCCTTCAATAGCTGTTTACAGGGTGCCTCAGTCAAAGTAAGTGCAAAATTCTTACAATGTAAGCAGGAGTAGCCCAGGAAACTGCAATTTTCATGAGCTTTAAAAATGCTTAGGGAGCCCTGGCCAGTTTGGCTCAGCGGTTAGAGCGTTGGCCTGCGGTCCGGAGAGACCCTGGTTCAGTTCCCGCTAAGGGCACGTACCTTGGTTGCAGTTTGTCCCCGGCCCTGGTTGGTCGTGTGGGTGGCAGCCACTCGATGTGTCCCTTCACGTCGATGTTTCTCTCTCTCTCTCTCTCTCTCTCTCTCTTCCTCTCTCTCCCTCCCACTCTATCTGTACAAAAAATAGAAAAATGCCCTCGGGTGAGGATAAAAAAAATGCTTAGGGAACTAATAGTGTCCATGTTAAGGCTTCCACTGTATGTGAAGCTGAGAAAGTATGGCCCACTGACAGGTTCTGATTGGTCATAGATCCAGGGAAGGGCACCAATAAGCCACGTCCTCTTGGCTTGCTTTAGAGTAGGCGGACTTGATCCCTTACAAACAAGAAGCTCCTGTTCAGTCCAGCTGTGCTGACATCCAGAACACCAAACAAGCTGTGCTTCATAAACCATCTCGCTAAGCAACAGGGAAAATTAAGCCTGACACAAGACAAATTGCAGGAGGTTCTGTCGATGAGACAAAGCATCCTCCTGGAGGAAATGGTGAGACATGGTGATTTATGGAGCCATCACTGTTACTGCTCATAATGAGATAAACCTGTTGCTTTCGGATCGCCAACCTACCCAAATGGATTCACAGAAGCGTGAGGCTGGCCATAACATGAATTTGCCTGCCGCTGGAGATGACATTCTTCCTTGGGTCTTTTCCCTTTTGTAGGAGTGCTACAGGATACAATTTGCATGCACAATCGTAATCTTTTAAATGGCAAGTCATTATTCTTGAAAAAATTTCATTTCCTTTATTTATGTCCGGTACTTTTAGATTTATGAATTCAATTAGCATGAGTAATCAGAATTTTTAAGAGCACAAAAGTAATTTTTCTCCAAATCCCTTTGGATTTTGTAACAAGAATCCTTTGCGAAGGACTGTGCTTAAGCAAATGTTCTTTAAAATGCCAAAATGCTATTTTTCAAATAAAGATAAATTTCCAGTGTGGAACTGTATCTAATTTATAGCATGTAATAACTTTCATTTGAGATAATAAAAAACTAAAGATTTCCATTTGTGCTAGGGCTTTAATATTATTGCCTATCAATACGTTGGCAGACACTTAAATATATAGTGAACATGATTTTTCTTTAAAATTTCCATAGATTTTAATAATTTAGAAATATAAGAGCTAATCAAATCATAGTCCAAATATTTTATGAATGCAGATGCTGGGACCCTTACAGTCTAGCAGCTCTATGACCAATCTACTCCTGTCTGTGGGCCAATAGTAATAAGAGGGGGTAGACGAGTTGTCTCCCACAACATGTCTAAATTCATATAATAATGCGTCACCCTATGTTTTTTCAGAATTGAATTCCAACTAACTTCTCTTAAAAGGCCATCTTAAATAAAATCTCTATTTTGACAATCCACGTACAAAATGATTTTCAACCCATTAAATTTTCCAGTGCCCACTGTACTGAAAACCAGAAGAGAATCTAATTTTCGTATGAAACCACTAATATGGAGGTGCTGCAAAGTCTCAAAAACCTGTTGCAGAAACAATTCCACTGTACTGTTATAACCACTGCGTGGTGACGTCCTTCAGTCATTTAAACGGGGTGCTCATCAAGACTGCTACTTGTCAGTCACTGTTCCACAACCTGGGGATACAGCAGTGATCAAAACAGACAAAGACCTCTGCTCCCTTGACCATGACATTCTAGTGGGGAAAGAGACAAAGTAACAAAAATAGGTTCTATGGTATTCATTGTTAGGTGCCCTTGAGTGCTAAAGGAGGAAAGGGGAAAGGGAATGCTTGAGGGGAGGCATTTTAAGATAGGGCAACATTTGAATAAAAGCGAAGGTGGTGAGGCAGGAATAAGGATATTTGAGAGAAGAGACAGAAGGAACAGTAAGTTCAAAGGCCCAGAAGCAGCAATGACGGCATGTTGGAGGAACAGTCAGGAGGCCAGGGTGGCTGGCGCTCAGTGAGTGGAGAGGCAGAGTGGTGAATGATGCAGTGATACGGCAGAGAGGGGACAGGAGACCAGAGACCACAGCCTGTAGGTCCCTGTGTAGGTCACAGCTTCTGCTCTGATGGGACAGAAAGTTGGAGCAGAACAGTGACATGATCTGGTGGGATCACTCAGCTTGTGTTGTGAACGGATCAGGACAGGTAAGCGGGGAGGACAGTTGGAATCTGAGAGATGAATTTGGAGACTACTGAGTCATTTTGGCATGAGATGATGGTGGATTTTTTTCAGTGGACAGCGTACAAAAGTTTTTGGATAGAAAGTGGCCGGACCTCTCTGTACCTTCGTTTCCATATTTATTAAAAAGAGAGAATCACGTCTAGGTTGTTGGGGGCGGGGAGGAAGCACGCCAGCCTCTGACCACACTGGGCACCTGACAAATGGTGGCTGCCTCGGCTCAGGTCCAACTTGTCTGGATTTTCATCTCCTCCCTTTCCTCCAGCGGCTCTACTTACCCTACCTTGTGCCCCCATAATCGTCTAGTTTTAGACCTTTATCCTCACACTTATACTTTATTTTGACACTACCCATCGGCTACACTGGACTATCACACTCTTTGGATGCAGGGACCACATCTCATCCCTTTAATGTTACCAGCACCTAACACCCAGCGGAGCACACAGTGGGCTGTGTGACAAATCTGAGTTGGTCGCCCTGTGGGTGACCGAAGGAGGAGAAAAACGTCCAGTGGCCACTACATCTCTTCACTCATTTCTGACACGTACCATGATCATTTCACTCTCCTGTTTTCTTTCCAATTAAAATGCTATCTAGCGTGGTAGGCATTTTTCTCAGATGAGGCGTGTCAGAGTCAAGAGTCGCTGAAAACCTGAGAAACAGCAGAAAGAAGCCCGGCGAGGCTCCAGAGAATCTAGGTCCTAACCCAGATCTGCCACTAAGTGGCTGTGTGGCCCCCAGCAAGCCATTTAATTTCTCTGAGCCCCAGAGTTCACATTTGTAAATGGAGGATAATTACATCTGTCCTAATTTTGAGAGTCGGGAGAATCAGATGACATCTGTAATGCACGTGACAGCTCGGAGGCACGGGTCCAGGCCATCAGCGTCAGAATGTGCTGGCATCTGGGGCCCCCAGCACCAGCCCCCGGAGCACAGCGTGTCGTGTTCAGCTGAAGACCAAGCTCACGTCAATAACTTGTAAGTGGTCGACTTTTACGATATATTGAAACTCATATGGTACATTAATTCTTTCACATAATGGTTGAAGATGTAGAGCCATGTTGTGAAAGATGAAATCAAACTGAAGACACAAGCATAAGTGTTCATCCAGGTGTTTGTATACAATATCAACACCTGGATACTAACCAAACAGGATCGCAACAAATGGTCCAACAGTCAATGCCAACTTCACTCCCTTTCACAGGAAGAGCAGTTAACAACTACTCATGAGCAAAAACCATTGAGAACATCCTAGAACACGAGGAGGAGGCTGAAGCTCCCCCTACTTTGCAGAGACCGAGAAAGAGTATACACAAGAGACAGAGCTACGTGTGTACCACATTGTTCCTCCCTCAGACAAGGGCACCAACCAAGTGGAAAAAGAAAGTAAAAAAGACTGAAAGCATAAGTGTAACTGAGAGTACTTTAACAAGCCCTCGTTTGTACTTACCTCCCTGTGGAAAGAATTGTGAGTAAATCTCTTTGAAGGTGTCTTCATTAACAACACCGCTGGGGCATTCCTGGAGAAAGTGGTAGAGAAGCAATATGAACAGAGTGTTTATAAAACTAAACTTTTGCACAATTTTTAAAAGAGAAGTGTTTACCATGCAAAACTGCACCAAGAAAGTTAACCATCCAGCCTTTATTACAAAGAGAATAAAAGCCCACTATAAAGTTTTCCTTGTCCCAGTTCTCATGGAAAGAAAGAAGTGCAGATGTAAAAAATCTTTGCATATAAAACCACCAAGTGTCCATTAATAGATGAATGGATAAAAAAGCTGTGGTACATGTACACAATGGAATACTATGCAGCTTTAAAAAAGAGAAATCTCTTATCCTTCAAGAAGACATGGAGGGACCTGGAGAGTATTATCCTCAGCAAAACAAGCCAATCAGAAAAAAACAAATATCACACAAATTTACTTATTTGTGGAATATAATGAACAAAACAAGCTGAGGAACAAAATAGATGCGGAGACATGGAAGTGGGGTGCGGACTGACAAACCTCAGAAAAGGTGGTCATGGGGGGAGGGAGGAGATAAACCACAGAACTTATATCCATGTATGCATAAAGAAGGACATAGACAATAATGCTGGGGAAGGGGGCAGGAATGGGAGGAAGGTGTCAATGGGGGAAAAAAGAGAAACATCTGTAACAAAAGTGAATGAACAAACATTACAAAAAGAACATTTCATTTTTCTAGGAAAAAAAGAAAAACGCATTGTTGCTTGTAAGAATACATACGTTTATTATCAGAGAAGTAAGAGGAAGTTACATTGTTTCTCGTAAAGCAAGGATATTGCAAGATGCTTATGACAGGGTCTTTGCTGGATCTTGGTGCTGTGTCCTCTGGAGATTTGCTGACCCACAAAATCTTTAGTTCAGTGAGAAAATGGGTGTGCCATTTGGATCAAAGGTGGCCTGGCCCAAGAATTTTCAACCAGGAATAGTTACTAATTTCTGTTAACAGTTTGTAATAACTGAGCTTGAATGAGACAAGACACCATGAATTTTTTAAAATTTCTGGAAAGGAAGGTCTGCAAAGAAACAGACCTGAAGGTAACGAATTCCCACCTTTTTCCTGTGGGAGGAATTATTTAAGACTCAGGGATATTGAGTTTGGGAACTCCACTCCTGTTGGACTATTGAGCTGGTGGGAACAGAGGGCAAGGCTACCCCTCTCAGAATGCATTGGGCATTTTCTGTAAAAGGAACTGAAACCTTACATGTTAGAAGGGATTTGCCTTGGTGCAGAAAATGAGGACTGAACAAGGGGATCTTAGGCTGAAGTGAGGGCCAAACTTCCTTCCCTCTTTGTAGTTACAAGAACATCCTGGCTAGGAATATGGGAAGTGGAGCTCCTGGGGCAGGGGAGACTGACAATCACAGAATAGACCTTCCTATATCAAGTCATATTAGGATGCTAATTGTGCACTGAAGGTGAGGAAGTAATACGCTCTGTCCAGTCCTTTGAGTAGCTTCTCATGAACAGTCCCGTCTTACCTGGGCTTCCTAGGGTCACTCGACACAGGATTCCCAAACTACCTGGCATTTCTCCAAGAGTCACTGGAGAAGAATCAGGGGTGTGTCAACATTCTTGACTTCAGGGATAAATATTTAGCATACTTTGAATTTGACACTGTTCCTGAGAACTTTGATAATTCTCTGCTGTGACTTTAAAGCTTCTCTTAACCCTTAAAACCATTGTCCACTGACAGATAAAGTGGATTTATTAATTTGACCTTTCTTTATTCCAATAAGACAGTTACTAACAACTGTAGTGTAGTTCACATGAGAACACTTATATTTTCTCATTCATTTGTTTGAAAGGTAGAACCCCAATAGATAAACACAATTTTAAATAGGAATTTCAATATAAAATTGGCTTACAGAGTTTGCCAGTGTATATTTCGCCCACTTAGTTGTTATAGTAAACCTACGACTTGGGCATCTCCATTCACACAGACAGAGCTGGAGGCTCTCTGCGTCAGCACCTCCACCCAGCCTGCCTTGGGAGAGCAGGAATGTGAATTTTGGACATTCTAGGTCAACACAAGTTTTGGATTAGATGATCCCTGTGGAAATCATGACCCCAAGAACTTGAAAAAAAAAAATAAGTAAAAACAAATGAGCAAAAAAGCAGGCAAGCAAACCGTAAAGGTTAATTTAATGTGTAACTTGTCTGGGCCATGATGTCCAAGTGTTTGATCAAACAGTATACGGAATGTTTCAGTGAGGTAGTTTTTGAATGAGGTGGAGTTTGAGTGAAGCAGATTGCTCTCCATTGTGTTGGTGGGCCTAATCTAATCAGTTGATGACTTGAATGGAACAAAAGGCTACCTTTACTAAGCAAGAGGGAATTCTCCAGCAACAGCTTTTGGAGGTGATGTGCAACATCAGCTTTTCCTGGTTGTACAGCAGGCTGCCTTTAGACTTGAACTACGACTCTTGAGGCTCCAGTGTGTCTGTCTCTCCCGTCAGATTTTGGACTGACTAAGCCTCTACAACTATGTGAGCAGATTAATTAAAATAAATCTCTTTCTATATATATATACACACACATATGCATACACACACACACACACACACACACACACACACCTATTGGTTATGTTTTTCTGGAGAATCCTGACTAATACATAAAAGATTGAACAATCAACAGACACTTCTAGAAAGAAAAGAAGGTGGCATGTATATAGCTCATCACTCCAAAGTTTTGACGAAATGACTCTATCTAGTTCACATCAACAAAACCAATTTAAAAGGCAAATAAGTACTTTGTAGTTAGATCCTCTCACAAATTTGAATTTATGGGCTATTTAACTCAGCATCTGCTTGGGATAGTCAAAAGAGAGCAAATGAATGGCTGCCCGCCATCAGGTGGTGAGTCTGTGCACGGTCAGAGCTGGAAACCTGCCTCAGAGTCAAGTGATACTAGCAAGAGATGACGATGGAAGGTGAACAGACCTCTGCACTCAGCGAACTTGTCAGCTGCCTTTGGTCTCTGGAAGCATTTAATAAATATATCTTTAAAAATGTTTTTTCTTTATTGATTTTAGAGAGAGAGGAAGGGAGAGGGGGAGAGAGATGGAAACATCGATGAGAGAGGACATCGACTGGTCGCCTCCTGCATGCCTCCCACTGGGGATTTGGCCCACAACCTGGGCATCTGCCCTGACCAGGAATTGGACCGGCGACCTCTTGGTGCATGGGTCGACGCTCAACCCCTGAGCCACACGGGCCGGGCCATAAATATATCTTACAATGTGAAATACAATTTAGAAATTGTCTCATAGGTATTTGTTTTAGGTTTATGATGTCTGTATCAGACAAAAATCCTTTCTCTGCTAACTGAAGGCTCCTGGTCAAGTCTTACGGTGGTAGCTCTCACCAGGCGAATTTGGCTCTATCCATCTCACATTCACTGCATTAACTGACATCTTCAACCAATATATATTGTGTGCTTATTATTACAGAAATTTTTCTAGGAACCGGGGCATCAGCAAAAAATAAGTCAACGGTCTTGTCCTCATGGAGCCTATATCCAAAAGAAGAAGAAAGGTAAAAAACAAGACAAAAGATAATAACAATAACAATCCAGAAGTGTGATCTGAGTTCTTACAGGAAGCCAATGCATTTTAGTACCTTCACCTGAGAAAAATAACCAAACTCTATAGGACAGTAGTGATTTTAAAAATGGTACAAATGGTTTATTCTCTAACTTTTTCATTACCCCTTTCATGAAGTGGTTTATCCACAAAAGTGGTATCTCCATCTCTTCATCAAGAATGAATTGGCCCAGCCATGTGTATATATATACACACAGGGATGGGCAAAAGTAGGTGTAGAGTTGTTTGTATGGAAAAAGACATGGTTATGATTATTACAATCGTTTTATTAACTGTTTTGCTTACACACAACTGTAAACCTATTTTTGACCACTTCTGTATTATGAATTGAAGTTTGAGAATTTGTGGAAAATGTTTTAAATTTATTTTATCGAGAAATTATTGTCTTCTGTCCAGCAAGGAGCTCTCCACCTTCCTCCCTATGACATACACTTTATTCTAATTATAAATGGCTAGACACCAACGTGCTTTGGGAAAAGTTTCAGTTTCTAAGTCAGGTTAAAATGAACCCTTCCATCAAATGTTAGGGAACTGGAGAGTCTGGTGCTTTGCTTGCTGGCACATCCATTTATTATGACAAGAGAGGGTTTTGTTTGTTTGTTTGTTTGTTTTTTAATTGCTTCTTAAACTCTTCACTATGATTATGATCAGGATGTAATAAATGTGGACTAGCATATAGCTGCCACACATTGTCAGTTGGTGGAGAGATACTTGCCTTTTGGGGCCTTACAGAGTTGTTCCCTGATGATCATTTTTGGTCCCTTAGGTAGTGTCATGATACATGTGAAGGTCAAGATCAGTTGTAAATGTACAAAGAACCCTTTGCTATTTATGACTCATGTCAGTACCACTAAAGTAGTAACTTTTATAATAACAACATGACAATGATGGTGATGATAATGACAATGACAAGCTGACACACAGGGGCAATTTCTATGTTGCAAGCATTGTGTTAAGTGCTCTGCTGGATTACGCCATGTGCATAAATAGAAGCCAGCCTCCCCCCACTTTACAGATGAGCAAACCGCCTCAGCGAGCTACTGCCCACACTCTCATCACTAGAAAATGGCAGAGCATGGTCTATTGATCACAGAATCCGGAAACGTGGTGCTTAAACAACTTTGAGATAATTCTGTTCCACGGCTTCCTTTTAAAGGTGAAGAGATTGAAGGTGAGGTTAGAGGAATCGTCCAGAAGCCACACGGTTGGCTGCTGAGCGTTGTCTTGTGTCTGGGCTTCCTGAAGTTAGGCTGATGCGTGGATACCACAAATGCCTTCGTGTCTGTACAACAGCTGGTATGTTCTGCCGGGTGGTATTTAGAATAATGCAGTGAAATTTATGCTCCTGGGCTGTGGCGTTAAGAAGAAGAACTGGCTTGAACCCCTGCT